TTATGTGAAAATGGCATGATTAATGAGTAAAAGAATTATTAATATTTTTTATGAAGGATAATCATGAATGATTTAGTTGGACATTAACTAAGGTAATTCAAGATGGTATTCTTGAAGGAATCAAGTACTTAATCATACATGTCATTAAATTAAATCTAGTTATGAAGAATAAACTAGAACGAAATATATAAACGATTAATAAGTATGAAGTACTTATTAATAGTTGTGAGAAGATGGATTTTCGCTTTATAAAGTTTGAGTGAGGCATGAGATTACCTAAAGTAATCAAGAATATATTTCATGGAATGATTAAAAATAATCAAGTATGTGTTATGCCATGATTATATGTAAAATATAGTTGAAAAGCATGCTAAGTAAGCTTGATGAGTTAAAATGTGATAATTAATTATGTATGATGTTCCAGGGATCCAAAATGGTATTTTTGGATCAAGGACGTCAAGAAGTACATGTGTATAAAATTTCACGTTAATCGGACTTCGTTTGGGCGATCAAACGGGCGTTGACCGCCAAGACAAAGGTGATACCCGACCGGGTATGGGTAAATACCCGACCGGGTATTGATTAAAAATGGCTCCAGAAGCCACTGCCACACTAGACCCGACCGGGTATGGGTATAGACCCGACCGGGTCTCAAGTAAAATTTGTTCCAGAGGCTACTGCCTCACCATACCCGACCAGGTATGGGTAAATACCCGACCGGGTATTGGGTTATACACCCAATATGCGGTTTTTGAGTAAGTTTACGTGGGCCGTTCAGATGGGACCCGTCCACGTTGGTTGCTAAGGCTTCGAATATGGTTTAAACGCTAAGACTTGGACTAGTCGTTAGTAAAGAAATTATAGACCACGACTGGGCGAGGTAAGTGGTAGATTATACATGACGGCTGAATACTCGGGACTGAGTAAGGTCAGGTAAAACTCTGTAGGACCAGGATGAGTCCTTTATACTCAAATGTTAACAAGGGCCCGTGTAGTCCTTGAGGTGTGTTAACCTCCAGCAAATTACACATAGGTAACAAGGGCAAATGCAGTCCTTGAGGTGTGTTAACCTCCATCAAATTGCATATACGTAACAAGGGCCCGTGTAGTCCTTGAGGTGTGTTAACCTCCAGCAAATTACACATAGGTAACAAGGGCAAATGCAGTCCTTGAGGTGTGTTAACCTCCATCAAATTGCATATAGGTAACAAGGGCCCGTGTGGTCCTTGAGGCGTGTTAACCTCCAACAAATTACACATAGGTAATAAGGGTAAATGCAGTCCTTGAGGTGTGTTAACCTCCATCAAATTGCATATAGGTAACAAGGGCCCGTGTAGTCCTTGAAGTGTGTTAACCTCCAGCAAATTACACATAGGATGAGGGTGTATGAGTACTCCTCAAGGCGGGGTTAGCCCCCGGGAATGTAAACTATGATTGTAAGGACGAATAGTCCCCGAGGTGGGTGAACCTCAAGTAATGATTTTAGATGATTAAACATGCGTGATCGGGAATGAGTTCCCAATAGGGTATTTTCCTTAGTCTAGGAATTTAATTTAAACCATGTCTGTGATATGGGAGCTCGAAGCCCCCCCGCAATAATTATCTTTGTTATCGGGTGAGTTAGCCTGCGGGTGACTTCACTCGAGGGTAGGACATGAGAATGGTGAATTTAATGAGGCTGTTACGTCTAAATGATTTAAAAGACAAATGGGCCCACAGGCTGGATATTTTACTCATATGTATATACGTATACGATATGTTTTGAAAAGGGGTGGCCAAGAGTTATACCTATACATATACTATCACCCTATGTTGAGGGTCCCATGTGAGAAACGTTAGTTATATTACATACAGTTTGCCCTCACCAATACTTCGCTGTAGTACTGATCCCTCGGAGGAACCACCCTTTCAGGTTGAAGCTAGAGTTTACTTCATACACCCATTGTTCGGGAGATCGATGGAGAGAAGACGTGGTTCGTGCTTCCTCTGGTTCTATTTCTAAATAATTAAATAATGCTCATGGAACTATTTTTGACTTATAAATTAATGGAGCCTGCGAGCTCTTGTTTTACCCTTGTGTGGTTTCTTATTAAACGCTTATATTCCGCTATGTGGTTTAATTGTATGTTGATGTTGTTATGTATGTTTACTAATCGGTTTTGGCATATGTATCTATCGGACGTCTTGTGCAATTTAGTAAGGATGAACTGCGGTTATTCTTATTGGGTTGTATGACGGTTGTCTACGGTTGTCTACGTGGCACAGACACGGCCAAAGGTGTTGAAAAACACCTATAAATAGCACACATTTTCTTCACTAAGAGGCATCCCTTCTTCCATATACTTAAGCTCAGTTTAGAATAGCATTTCTTTATATTTTTCTAGCTATGTTTAGTCTCCAAATGAGGAGCTAAACTTCCATTTCTTGGTTTTGCTCTTGAAGCTTGTTGATTATTAAATTTGTGAGTTATTTTCTTAACTTTTATTCTTGAATATTAATTCTTCCCTTAATCTCATTATATATTAATGTTGGGGTGTTGCTAAGTGACGATTAGTTGTCACTTTGATATTAATTATTACTAGAAACGATCAACGAACCGATGATTAATCGTTGATGGTTTCACAAGTAAGTAACTTCGGTTTATTAATGAACGGTCGTGGTTAATAGACTTAAGAGGGATTAATTTTGTTGATTAAACCGAAACCGTTGTGTTGAGGTTATCAATCTCAATTGATTTCATCAAGGAGTTAAAAAGATTAAATGCTACTATTAAATCGGTATACGGCGGTGTTCTATATTTGATTAATAGTAAGGGTTGTTAATGATGTAATTGATGTTATGAGTGACTCATATTCGGGTCCGAGGCCATAGACAGTAGCTCGGAGAAGCTCCCGATTGCCAATGGGAGAGTTAATAGAGTTTAGTGCATCCACCAAAATCTTGATCTCTCCCAAGTATTCATCCATGGACTGAGATTCCTTCCTTTTTAGGCTAGATAAAGCCGTTTAAGTTCCATAGATCGAGCAATGCTTTCAACCATAAATCGGGTCTCTAAATGTTCCCAAATTGCAGTAGAGAAACAAAGATCATCGACCTTGATCAAAATATCATGAGAGAGGGTGGTGAAGAGGCAAGACCTCACCGCTTGATCGATGCGTAGCAATAAGAATAGTTCGTATTAGAAGTTTCATGTCTCATAGGATCCTCTATAATTGACGACGAAGCAGCAATTGACCCATCCGAAATACCCAACAGTCCATGTGATACCAAAAATGATTCAAATTACGTGCACCACGAGAGGTAATCATCAACCGTGGCTAGTCGGGTGGTAACTATGTTGGTGACATTAGGTGTAGAGAATGATAATGGAGAGGCTAATATAGCAATCGGGCTAGAATTTACCGGAGTTTCGGGCTGCCTGGACGTCCAAGCATGTTGGAATGTAGCCACACCAGGCTGACCCATCATCGTGGGCCCTGAGAACAGTGGCAGTGTATGAAGCACAAACTTGAGACGCAAGGAGGGCATGCATGATTTTTGGGGACGTCGTTATTGCAGTAGGCGTCCAAGTGAATGGTTCCGTCATATTAAAAAGCAGATACGTACTCAACGGAGGTAACAACATGTTGAGGCGTGAGGATGACAAGTGAGGAGATCTTCTGAGTGATGGTACTGAGTATCGCAGCATGGTAGGTGCTTTACAATATTTGACTGCTACCCGACCTAACATTACTTATGTCGTTCATCTGGTTTCTCAATTTATGCATGCTCCTCGTACTACTCGTCTTGTTGTTGTTAAGCGTATTTACAGGTACTTGCAGGGCACCTCGTCTCACGGCTTATGGCTACGACCAGGGCAGAGCACTTCCGTGGTGATTGCTTACTCAGATGCTGATCGGGCTGTATGTCCAGAAAGTTGTCGGTCCACTGCAGGTTATGCTATTTTTATTGGCGGAAATCTTATTTCATGGCGCTCCAAGAAGCAACCCACTGTTTCAAAATCCTCCACCAAAGCAGAATATCGTGATGTGGCCTACACGGTTCAAGATACCTTGTTTGTTCGCTCTATTCTCATGGACATGGGTATCGTGATCACCACCCCGATTCAGCTCTTCTGTGATAACACACCTGCTTCCTATCTTGCAGTCAATCATATTCAACATGATCGTAACAAACATATCAAGATAGATTACCATTTTGTTCGAGAACGGGTAGCTCATGGAGACCTCGTCGTCAAATATATTCCTACTCAGTACCAACTTGCAGATATTTTACTAAAAACTTGATTAGTCAGTGTTTTGAATTTTTAAGGTCCAATCAGCACGTGATTTTCCCTGCACAGATTGAGGGGATGTAATTGTATATTATAATTAAGGACCTATGTGTAAATACTCTTACTTATTATTAGTATAAATATGATCGTAGGAGTAGGGTAAGCCATTATTCATCTCAATCATTATTCTACGAGAGAAACATATCTTTGTTTTTCTAATTTTTAAAAACATCTAAACAAATATTCGAAAAAAAAGAAGGGAGAACTATCAAATAAGCCCTCGAACTTTCATAAAAAGTGCAACTAAGCCCTTTTACAGGAGGCTTTGTCCGGCTGTCGCCATTTGGAGCGGTTTACGGTGGAATATTTTGATGAATTTTTTTTAGCATCTTCTTCATTAAGTCTAGTTTACCCATACCAAATTTCAGCTAAAAATTCAATCTAGAAGCCAGTCAAATGATTTTCTGAAATATACTGCGCTGCCTAACTGCGCAGTTATCTTCAAAAATTCATTTGACTACCTCCCCGATTGAACTTTTATATGAAATTTGGTATGAGTAAACTAGACTTAATAAAGAGAATGCTCAAAAAATTTCATCAAAACATTCCACCGGAAACCGCTCCAAATGACGACGACCGGGCAGAGCCTCTTATAAAAAGGGCTTATTTGTACTTTTTATGAAAGTTCGAGGGCTTATTTGATAGTTCTCCCAAAAAAGAAAAACAATTAAATAAACATGTTTTCTGATTTTCAATTTCCGATATAATGAACGGTAAAGTATGTAACACCAATCTCAATACAACACGGAGTACAATAGAACACAATACAAAATGGTCCATGTAACTTATTAACCAAAAAAAGAGTAGCCCGTATCCCATATGGCGTAAGAGACCATCTATATATGCAAAGGGGGCAAGTCAAACAACAAAAAGAGCGCCACTCTCTTACTTTTACACTCTTTTGTATCCATGCAATCTTAAATAAAGTTATGTTGACACCCAACCCCTTAACTTTTTCGCAATAGTAAACCAGACCCTTGAAACCCGTAAAGCTACGAAAAAAAGTACACTTTTGAATTCTTTCCAAAACTGCGGACGACTCCGGTAGTGGTTCGCAACCCAGGGAGTGTACACACTGCGCCTCTCTTCTCCTCTCCTTTCTTCCTCGTCTCTGTTAAAATCTGAAATTTTGGTGCTCTCTTCTTCTGAAGATGTATAAGAACCAGCTACAGGAGCTGGCCCAAAGGAGCTGCTTCACCTTGCCGTCGTACACTTGCATTAGGGAAGGTCCCGACCATGCCCCTCGCTTCAAAGCCGTCGTTAACTTCAACGGCGAGTCCTTCGAGAGCCCCCACCACTTCTCCACCCTCCGCTTAGCCGAGCACGCCGCCGCTGAAGTGGCGCTCAATTCCCTCTCCCACAGCGGCCCCTCTTACTCGCTCGCCGCAAGAATACTCGTGAGTTTGCTTCTTTTGAGCTTTTATCTGTCACTAAGTTTTCGTTTTAAAGTATTTACACAATGATGTGCAAAGATTCAATCTTTATTTCTGGGTACGCCCAAAAGCTGCTCTTTTTTCGATTTCTTGATTTTCCGGCGAGATTCCCGGCAATAAGCAGCGCCGCTTAAAGTTATTCACCAACTTTTTCAGTTGATGGGAAAAGACTCGGACTTGGAACTGTATGTGAGTTGGGGTGTGGGGGTGGGTTGATGACTGAGGGATATCAATAACCTGCTCATTTACCGGTTTCTTGATTTTCCGGCGAGATTGGCGTTGCTCATAGTTAGTTACTCCTTACTACCCAACCTTATCAGTCGGTCTTCTGCCTCTGCGCTTACATGTCAGAACCGGGAATCAATGACTGGCTGTAAGGTTGTTGGTGGAATTTAATGGCTTGGGAAGTGACCACATTGACCTTGTACTAGATGTTTGGTATGGCTCCAATGCCACTGGAAATATTTTGAAAAGTCTTGGTCTGAATTGGGAAAGTGGTAAAAGAAAACCATATCATAACGGCGTAAGTTTATTGAGAGGGACCATAATCAATTAATAAGACCCATCACATTGTCATATTGACATTGCTTCACAGCTGTGTTTGGGTCATCTTGTACTGTGCTGTTGCCAATTCATTAAATTAGGGGTACTCAGGTAATTTGCATTGAGTATAATTTACTTTAGTGCGTGTGAAATGGTAAATATTACGTATATACTACCTACTTCCCATAAAATTCTACCCACTTTGACTTGGCACGGAGATGAAGAAAGTGGAATAAAGTGGAAATGTATGGTTGTGGTTGTGTAAGAAAAAGGTGAAATGAATGTGAACCACACAAATTGTCCAAATATGGTAAGTGGAAAGAATTTTTCGGGACGGCCCAAAAAGTAAAGTGAGAAGAATTTTATGGAAAGAAGGGAGTAATTTTATTTCAAAGAATTCTACTTTAGGAAGGAGCACAGTAAATAAAGCTAGTCTTATAGATCATCTGTAGTTGTACACTACTTATGACACATCTATGAATCTATGCTGCCCATGAAGAAATCCTGTGATCCACTGGTTTCACTTTTTAGGCATTCTACTGAAAAAACTTAAAATTCTTGTGTATTTACAAATCAAGGAAAATAGCATATACATGTGAGGGCAAAAGTGCCATTTTCTCTCATTTCAACAATTTAGCCTAACAAGTTAAGTAATTAACAATGTAAGTCGAGCACTAAAGATAGTGTTTATGTAGAATTTCCAAATAGTTAGTCAGATAAACAAGGCACTTTAGTGTGGTTGCATTGAAAGTGCTGGTTAGACCTACCTAACTAAATATACAAATGTATTTATGATTCAATGCTTCAAGTAGAGATGAAGAGTTTAAACCATGAGGATATGGAGCTACATCTTCTCTTGCTTTTCTTAATTTTAGCTAGAAGATGTTCTTTCTTATGTCTATTACACCACACATTGTGCGCTATAAAATGTACTCCATTAAATATAAAAAATTATATAATTGCACATAAATAAGGGATAAAATATTGGGGATAACCCTACAATATTAAATACTAAACATATGAACAATAATATGATTACAAGTCATTTTCAAGGCCAATGCATTCATTACACTAGTAAAAAATGGTGATTCTACATCAAAGGTTTTTTGGTAACTGTATGGGTAAAATATGATCATTGTGCATCTAATATGATCACCACGTATTAATGATGTCACTTTTGTGTGGAGGTTTTAATTTAGTAAATAGTTATCAAAATATCTAAAAAAGTTATACTAAAGTTAAATTGAAACTGAATAGTGTATATATGAGTCTATGATGGATTAAATGAGATGGTGGGAGTGTGGGTGTATCGAAATATATAGTGAGCATGCCAACTCGTGCTCAGTATGAAGCACCTTGACTTGATGAATGGAGAGGATTCACTTATTTTTTACATTGGAAGAATTCTTACCATTTATCACGTCAACATGTTCACTAAATTTACTTGTGGGAGTACTCCTTATTTAGTGACCTGCAATGACTGCTTTAGATGTTTTTAAGAGTGGGGAGTTGATTCGAATGTGTGGAATGATGTTAATAGGATGAAACTGGAGTGTATAAAAACCTATTACAAGCAATCTCCCAAAGAGTTGGGTCTCCTTTGCCTCAATATGCAACATTCAGATCGGGCCTCGGGCACCATCCAGTCTTTACGGGAACGGTTGAACTAGCCGGAATCACATTTACCGGGGAGCCCGCCAAAACAAAAAAACAGGCCGAGAAAAATGCTGCTTTGGCAGCTTGGTCATCTTTAAAACAATGTGAGTACTCTTTCTATAAATACAACGTCAAACCTCCTTGTATAGAACTTTTTCTATGTTGGATCGCCCCCTACTATGTTATCAGTTAACACTTGGATTGCTGTAGTTACTCTTGTTTTATAGAAGAAACATATTTCTTCTCAAACAATTGCCTCTTTAGAATATCAAGAAAGCATAAATTGCTCAAATTTCCACAACTGCTCTCCTCCATTTGTAAATGCTCCATGCAGGGGCGGAGTCAGAGCACTCGGCCGGTAGAAAATAATTGGAAAAAGTTTTACACGGAATTTTTACACTAAAGATAAAGACATTTTTTAAATTTGGGTGGGCCGGGGCCTAGGTTTTCCCCGTAGCTCTGCCCCTGGCCCCATTGTTGTTCATTTTTACAACCATCCCATAAAATAAGTAGTTGTTGAGGGATTTTCCCTAAAATTTCACTATAAAAGAATATTTGGACAAAAACATGATTACTGCTGCAACATGCTTTGAAATTGCTATGAGTAAAATTGAACATAATCTTGGTCACTGCAATGTAAAATTCATCATAATTTTGGTCAACATGGTTCTTATGTGGCCATTCCATATATCTTATCCATTGTCTTTACTTTAGTAATATATTGGTCATTATTATCTTTAATCATCTTAAGAAGGAGTCATTTTATATGAGAGTACCAATTTTCAGGTAACTTGCCAAAAACTGTGGGGAAAAAATAAAATAAAATATTAGTAGTATTTCCTCACCTCTAAACCACAATTAAGAAGTTTGAACATGCCAAATTAAAAAAAGGTGTACCTTAACCTAACAGGGCATTTTTTGGGCAGAGGGGTACACATAATTGGGGTATTTTAGTCATCTTATTGTATTTTTACTCTGACCAGAAAAAATTATGGGTTCCTATCATGTGTGCTAGTAATATGAATGTAGGGAGTAAATATGAAGGTTTTTAATCTTCTTCGGTTTTCCCTTCTTCCTCCCAGTTACATTGGATGAATGAGAATTGAAAGCCATTTAAAACGGTCAAGTTTGAGGTTCCTTTGGGAACTTAGGAAGTACCAGGGATAGGAAGTGTGGAGCAAGTTATTTAAAAGAATTTAGGAAGGAAAGGAAATGAAGAGGAAAAATAACCATTGGGTTAAACTTAAGAAATTTATATTTATTATTTGCTCAATTTCATTTTATTTTTATCCTATAAGTACTAAAAATTGCTCAAAATATACTAAGAATCCTATAATGCTATACAAATGTAAGAAATTCAAAAAAGCCCATTTAATTACTTGAGTGTATCCCTCTCCATTAAAGTGAAATCATGTGAGATTTTTTTTTATCCATTTATGGAACAATTACATACATTTTTGCAAGAAACAGTGGCAAAACAAGATGCAAATTCATCATCAGAGCCAGAGAACACAGAAGAGCATGAGCAGATGAGGATCGCGAGGGCGCTACAAACCTACTGTTTAAAGGAAAAGATCGAAATCTCTAACAACTCCAGCATACCCTTCCAGAAGAAGTTCCCCACCCCATCTAGTCCACACTGCCCCCCATCATCCACGTCAAAGATCCTACCTTTATTTTCCCAAAAATCCGTTCATCGTCATAGATCTTCACCTGCAATGGTCGTCGGTGATAATTATGGCCCTTCATCACACCCTCTTCCCCAAAAGTATCCTTATGTTCCTCCTAGACAGTATAGAGCGCCTTGCCATTCCATTGCTCCCGCTGTCAATATACGAACTTCAGTTCCAGTTTTCTCTGCACCCCCACGGGCCCCACCTGTTCGAGTTGCGCCACCCGTATCTATCAGGCAGGCTGTTCCTGTTTTTGCTGCTCCCCCAGCCCCAAAGGAAACTGCAGTGGTTTCGTCGTCCAAGATTGAGGAGGAAGCTGCAAAGAAGTGTGAAGTTGTGGAGGTTGACGAATCTATAGCTTTGAAGTGTTTGGAACGGCTCCAGATTTGATCTATAACATTTTTTTGTTCTTGGTCGTACCTTATTTTGTTGATGAATATACTATGCACAAGTGGTTCTCTGCTGTTGATGCTGCATGGTAGTGTAAACTTACCGTTACAAAAGCAGGTCACTTGGTTTAAACATTTGCCACTATTAAGTTTTGCTATTATGAGGATGACCTTGTACTGTTTCATCATCAAGGATATATGTGACAATTAAACTAGTTTGTTGTTGATTGTTATGGCTTTCAACTCATCATGATTCATGCAGCTGTCGCCTTTGACCCTTTTGGCCTTATTACATAAATTGAAAATCTATCAAAAGTTTCTGTTTGTTTGCAAATGTCTTGAATTGCGAAGTGTCTTGTGGTTGATATAATGTCATCAATGTGTCACTCCAAAAGAGGTCACAAGTTCTAGTGTCACTCAATGAAAAATGAATGTTAACATTTATCATGGAACATATATTGTGCTAGGCATGGATCGGGCCCGGGTTGGGCCGTGCCCCGGGCCGGGATTGGGCAGTATGATGAAGGACCGGGGATTTGGGCTGAAGGCCTAGTACTGGCCCGGGTTTGAACCGGGACCAGACCGGGACTGGATTGGGTCATTTTTTTTTTAATTTAGTCTTTTCTAATTTATTCCTACCCCTCCACCCCCCACCCTAAACCCCGCCAAAACATCCAACCCAACCCACCTAGCAGAGCAGCCCAATGCAAAAAAAAAAAATATTTTGGCCCGGACCAGTCCACTAAAATTAAGTCCTGAAGCCCGCCCCCATTTGACCCCGGTTCGGACCCCATAGCCTGGTCCCGGTCCCTGTCAGCCGGGCCGGGCCGGCACAATAACGGGCCGGGTACCGGGTCGGGCCGAACCGGCCCAGTCACCCCTATATTATGCTCCATAATAGATTAATAGCACATAAAAATTGTCTTGCATTCAGGAAACGGCCAAAGTTTTCTATACAAATTTAGTCCATCTATTCTAAATGTGTTCAAATTTAGTACAATAATGGACAATTATTAACAATGTTAACTATTTCCGTAAACTTTTATAATGTGACACTTATTTTTTTTAGAAGCAGATGGCTTATATTAATAAGAAAGAACGTAAGCAGAGTACAAACAGACAAAGAACCCATAATCTACGTATGCTTTTGAACCAGACTTAGAATCTGCCACCTCTAATGAAGCACCCAGATTCGTTGATCCTAAATGGGCATACTTGAGCCAAAGACTAGTAAACCAAGTTCCCCATCACCTGTCCTAGGTTCTTGAGTCTTGACAAAATTAAAAGAGGCTAACATCCCAAACAAACTGATAGACCTAACAACCAAAACGATAATAAGAAACCAAATGACAAAATAATGATAACTAAAATGAAAATTTTCACGGACTCTAGCACCTCGTACAACCCAATGCGATGGTTCAGGAGGAGGCCGTATCATTGATATCACTCTAATTGAACCTCCGTCGTCAATCAAAATCTAGCCTATTCGAATCTCGTGCAACTCTTCTCGTCCCACATACTTCTCGCTAGGGGTGGACTCGGGCCGGGTGGCCCGACCTGGAACCGGCCCGGGACCGGTACTGTTCCGGCCCGGCCCGACCCGGTGGCCCGGTCAGTGACCGGTCCAGGTAGGCCCGGCCCGTGGGTTTTCCGGTCCGGGCTCGGGTCACCCAAAACAAGGCCCGACCCGGCCGGGCCCGGGCCCGGTTCGGGCCAAAACCTATTTTGTTTTTCAATTTTTTTTAAATTTTCGGGTTGGGCTGGGTATTTTGGGCCATTTGGGGTGGTTTGGAGGGTTGGGGTGGGAGGGGGGTTAATTAGGAAGAGGAAAACAAAAAAAAATTATAATGGGCCCGGCCCGGACCGGACCCGGTGGTTACCCGGGCCGGTCCCGGGTCCACCATTTCTGAACCGCCGGCCCGCCCGGGCCTAGGCCCGACCCGGACCCGGCCCGGACCCGAGTCCACCCCTACTTCTCGCCTGGGCACTCCTCCTTCGCTTCATGCTGGCCGCCGATTACCGGCTGATTCAAGCTGTTCATCGCCATCTTCTATGAATAATTTTTTTTCAATGAATAATTTTTAATGTGACACTTATATTACTTATGATATGCCCGGTCAGATTTTTTTCAATGAATAATTTTTAATTTTTTTACAAACATGTTGATCATTTGAAAAATTAATAATGGACTTTACAATTTAGTAACCATGAGTATATGCTTCTATGGACTTCGCCATGGTCCATATGCACTTAGGATGGACCGGGACCGGGCCGGATTGGGCGGGACTGGAACTAAAAAATTTTGACCCAGAAACAACTGCGGGTTGGGACCGGGTCGGGACGGGCCTGGGAAATAAATTAAAAAAATAGTGCAATCAGGCCCGGCCCGGGTCTGATCGGGTCAGGCCCAAAAAACGAGCCCAAAGCCCGTCCTTATAGGCACCGGGTCGGGCTTCGGACCTAAAAAGCGCCGGGTCGGACCGGGACTAAGCAGTGTCGGGACTGGGCCGGTCCAAGGTCGGGCTGACCCGTCCCAGTCCATCCCTATATGCACTCATATGCATGTCGTTAATAGGTTGAATTTAACCTTAAACCTAGCTTGACTCATGCCCTCATGGTTACGATTCATCCATTTGTATATGAAGTCATCACAATGTCCAAGTACTCTTCTTGTTAATCCTAAGTGACTACTCGGAGGGTTCATAACCGAAAGAGTGAAAGAAATGAAAGAGGAAAAAAGAAATATTCTAGAATGTACTAATAGGTTTGTAGGAGTGATATGATATTCATATTTCGATTCATGTAATGTCATGTGATTTCGTGATACTGTTGACTGTCACGCATCTATCACAACATCATCAACAATTATTCTTGCGTGGGACAGACAAATACAAAAAATGATCTGATAACGGAGTTAGCTTTTGTAGGAGTAAAAAATAAATCATACAAATGAGGATTAGGATTATTCTACTGTACACTTGAATCTTTTATGAAATTATGGTTTGTTGAAAACAACCAACCATCGTCAAGAAATTTTGATTCATGTAGAGACTTGTCCGGAACAATCTAAATATCTGATTATATACATTAGATGATGTTCCCTAAAAAATAACTAAAATGTCTTACAGTTTAAAAGAAAGCTTAGAATAAAAATCTTAAGCTGTCTCAAACATGATCCAAATAATTGAACAAGACGTGCAACCAGATCTTTGAACTTTATCGTTGTTCTGTTATTGTATATACTCTCTCCGTCCCGCTAGAAGGTTATTATTTGACTAACGATAAAACAACTTAATCCTTGTTCACACTTCGATTATTTTTAGTAAATAAAATTAACATATTCAGAAACTACATTAAAACCGCTACAAAGCCTGATAAAAAAATGTAAATTTGATAAAAATTTGATTTATAAAATAAAAAATTGTTTAAATTGAGCATGTGAATAGTAGGCGAGAATCTCATTCAGAATTTTATTATGTTATCGCTCCACCCCTCTCTAGAATTTTTATATTTTCTTGTACAATTTTTTTCAAGACATTTTATTGTACATTTTCATTAGGATAAAAATGTACTGGTAGATATATTGTTCTCAGTACGTTACTCGGAGGTTATTATTTCTCTATTTTTCTACTTTATTACGGAGTAGTTTATTTTAGTAAAGAAGTTTCATTTTTATCACTTTATTTACATTATGTTATTTTTATTTATTTTTACATGGTTCTATACTTCTATACGCATAAATGCATAATATGAGCAAGGGTGAATATTTTTTTTTGTTTTTGATTGTATATAAGAAGTCTGGCTAAATACGACTATAAATCACAATCTGGACTAATGAGCCAATAGTCCACGGAGCCAAAATATTACTAAGACTTACTATTTTCATCATTTTCAATGGAGTCAAAGACTTACTATTTTTTATTTGAAAGTATGATGAAATAAAATAAAATAATTAAGATGACTTACTAAATTGTCTGCGTCTTTTTGTTATGAAGCAACAGTCAGTCTTCCGATTGATTTTCTTCACGGGTCATACGGAAACAATCTCTTGTGCTTAGTACACGCGTAAGAAAGTGGGAAGAATTTTTTGTAGTGATATAAACTTCCCACATTGACTTCCCACATTGACTTGGTACGCGTATTAAGAAAGTGGGAATAAAGTGAAAATGTATTATTGTAGTTGTGTAAGAAAAAGGTAAAATAAATGTAAGCCACACAAATTGTATAAAACTTGTAAGTGGGAAGAATTTTTTGGGATGACCCAAAAAAGAAAGTTAAAATGTTATGGAACAGATGGAGTAATGCATAATATTTCTCCATATTTTATCATTGTATGTTGACAAGTGATATACTTCAAAGTAATAAGATGGAATAAAACATTGATCCAAAAAAAGTTGGATTAAAATAAAGCACGTAATATTTCTCATTTGAGAAATAATTTAAGCATATATGAAGAAAGAGATTGGAAGTTTGCATATAGGAAGCACGTAATATTTCTCATTTTGTCAAACAGTTTCATTTTATGTGGTTAACTAGTGATGGTACCATGGACTCTTACCATGACCCAATTACATAATCCAGCCCATAACGGGATCAAGCCCATAACGGGATCAAGCCTTCAACGGGATCAGCCCATGAACGAGATTAGTATGATTAGCCGCTAGGCCTGATTAGGGATCAGCCCCACGATAGGAACCCACAGCCAGGTCGGGCTGGACAACAGACCTCGAGCCTGGGCGGAGTTCTAGTAAGACTGAGCTGTTCCTAGGGTTTACGTGGGAGACTATCATTTGAGCATAGCTATCTGGCAGCAGGCATGACTCAACAGGTAACGTAGGCTTGGAAGAGATAATCATTGCACAATGGCCAAGACGCTACAGGAGTTCTATTCGAACTAATATATAATTAATAGCATTTAATGTAGTAGTTTCCTCTTAGAATACTAGTTCTTGTAGTCTATAAATACTTCCTGTAATTCTCCCAGAAAGGGATCGGTCAATCATTCCTCCGAATAATAATACTGCCTTACGCTGCCATATTTCGACATCTTTAGTAGATTTAGCTCTTGTAGTTGGATTAAACTTCATCATTTGGTGCTTTCATTGAGAGCTGAATCTGCGAAAATGACGGTTTGATCCAATAGCCACAACCATATGAGTAGCAACCAAGGCGGCGACCGTTTCCACCAAGTCGTGATCGAGGACGAAGCTTCGAAGTCACGATGGAGCGACTTCTGAAGACGCAACGACAACATCACCGCTCCAGGAAATCTGAGGAACCAACTCCAAGGCATGGGGAGTTCCAGGCGAACGACGGTGCGGCCACCGCACTTCC